ACCCATCGCACCCTGGACATGTCCGTTTTTATCCATCATATGTAGAAGATGAAATTTTCATGTGTATAGACGCTTTGCCTGGACATATATATATATATATATATATATATATATATATATATATATATCAGGTCATCTCATAAGTTCTGTCCGAATTTTGAATAAAGAAAACAAGTGAACAAATGTTACATTTAATTACAGATTCAATCAACAATGTATTTTCCCTGATTATCTATGACTTCCTTTCATCTATTAACAAACTTACTAATTCCATTACTGTAAAATTATTTTGGCTTTGATTCGAAGAACTCACAAATGTTAGTTTTAACCTCTTTCTGTGTTACAAAAGCTGTTTCTTCCAAATGATTCTGTAAGCTACGAAACAAATGGTAGTCTGAAGGAGCAAGATCGGGAGAATAAAGTGGATGAGGAATTTTCTCCCAACCAAGTTCTTCGATCTTTTATGACGTGATTCTTGCTGTGTGGGGTCGCGCATTGTCCTGATGAAACATCACCCCTTTTCGATCCACTAAAGCAGGTCTTTTTTCCTCAAAGCTTGGTTCAGATGCTCTAATTGCTGACAGTATATTTGAGCATTAATTGTTGCATTAGGTGGTAAGAATTCAAAGTGGATTATTCCTTGGTGATCCCACCAGATTGAAAGAAGAACCTTTTGCCCATGAAGTTCCCTTCTCGGCTGTGGCTGGGCTCTTTCCCCTTTACCAAGCCACTGTCTACGACGCTTAACATTTCGATAAAACAAGTTGGCGAGAATGGAGAGAAGGGCAGATGTCAACTCGGGATTTGAGGTTGTTTTCAGACAATTCATGAGGCACCCATTTTCCAAGTTTAGGAACTTTTCCAAGTAGTTGAAGATGACGATAAAGAGTTGTATGGTTTGAACTGAGAACCATTGCCAATTCCTCAACTGATAAAGAAGGATTTTCTTCAAGGGCTGCTTCAAGAAGCTTTTCATCAAACTCAACTGGACGTCCAGTTCGATCTTCATCTTCAAGGTTGAAATCTCCACCTCTGAATTTTGCAAACCACCTTCTGCAAGTTCTTTCATTCACACATTCCCCTCCATAATCTGAGTGAATGTTTCTAGCCGCTTCGGCTGCTGAGTTTCCTTTCTTGAACTCATAAAGCATTATGTGCCTCAAATGATTCTTGGGTACTTCCATGTTAGCAGAGTTTTAATCAAACAAAATTTAATTTTATTGTTCTCTGGAATAAGATTTGATCAGTTTAAATGCATCTAAACATAAAAATAATGTTCAGATCCATTAGACATTATAAAATACTCTTTAAATTTCGTTCATTTTAACAAAAAGTTAAAATTGGGACAACTTATGGGATGACCTGATATATATATATATATATATATATATATATATATATATATATATATATATATATATATATAGAGAGAGAGAGAGAGAGAGAGAGAGAGAGACAAACCTCTAATCTACGGACCTCCAATCAACGGATTTCGGATGCAACGGACGAAATCTGCAAACAAAATTTTTAAAAATCAGCAGAAAAAAAACTTCAAAATCGTCTGCGATTTATTTGAAAATTTGCGTGCTTCGCGGAACGAGTCTTATTAGTTCTCAATGTGTTCGCTTGGCGACGGTGGCGAGCATTTCATTTGTAAACAAAGACGGACATTAGCTTGTGCGTGAGAAAGTAGCCATGAGAAATGTATTATTTTTGTTACTTTGATTAATATATTATTAAGTATATATTTATTCATGCCATATATACATGTTCATAGTATTACCATTATGACAATAACTAATAGTAGTTATTATAGTGGTTTTATAACTCAAAAATAATCCATTTTATGGCTTTAACTTAGTGTTTGTAACCTATCTAAGCCCTCTTCGTTGCTCACACGTTCGGTCCAGGATATCCTTAGCATCCTTCTGTAGAACCACATCTCCGTCGCCTCAAGTCTCTTCCTCCCTCCCCCATTAGTCCATTGTCTGTCTGTATTTGATTACTACTACCCCGAAAATCCTTGCCCATGAAATCTATCCTAATTATGAACTATATTCATCAACTGAGCTATGGCAATTGACGCTTATTGTAATCATGAACAGCACTTATAGTTATAGAGCAACGCGATTACTTTCATCAAACACTGTGGAATCTACGAGCCAAGTTCAAATAATATCGGTAGATAGTTTCGCCTATCGCCCGGTTCACACTCCTCTCAGGAATAGTGGTTTATCCCTTGTTGGATTGTACTTCTGATTGCTTTTAAAGTATTTTCATTCTCTTTACTTAGCCCCTTGTGTCTTAGTGGCATTATGTATGCCTGTATGTATGTATGTATGTATTGATAGATAGATAGATAGATAGATAGATAGATAGATAGATAGATAGATAGATACACGGGAATGTATATATACCTGCCTATAGATATAGTAATGGCAGGATAACACGATAATCATTATCGCTTTGTCTGGGTGTCAATTGATTAAAAAACATCTACTGCGTTCGGTTTTGCACTAATGTCATAGAAAAATATGAAATCATATTTTCTCCCTCCGGCTATGGGTTAAATATCAGAAATGACATAACATTTTACACTGAACATTTTTGAAAAAAAACCAAAAAACTTTAAGACCACGCACATTTTATATAGATAAAGGACTTCGTAAGGTGTGAGCTGTACCTGTGAGTACACTTTTAGTATTTATTTAAGGCATGGGCTACCAGGAATCCATTTAATGTGTCTATCGGAACCTTTTCCAATCAAGCTGAGTGCTCCAATTATAAATGGAATTACTGATGTCTTCATGTCATTTTTGAGATATACTTGTAATTTGACATTTTTTTTTTTGAAGATCTTCAAAATGATAGATTACGATTTGCAGGGACTGCCATCTGAATAAGAAAGAACATTCTGTTTTTTTGGTCCTTCATCACGATGTCTGGGCGATTAGCTTTGACTGTTCCGTATGTGTGTATTGTAAGGTCCCATAAAATTGTCACAGGCCCTATTTCTGTAACCGGGTCTAGGTAATGTTCATATCATTTTCTTCCGGTTTCCTTCCCGTAAAAGTTGCATATTTTCCAGTGCATATCTTGCACCACTCTGTCATGCCGTGTTTTGCAGTTTGTTCTAACACTGTGCAACCTGATACAATATGGTCAATTGTTTCTAAAATTTATCACAGAATCTGTACTTAGGATCAACATATTATTATTATTATTATTATTATTATTATTATTATTATTTCCTTTGATTTCTGGCGTGTACACATTTCTTTCCGGGTCCCGCCCAGAGACCTAAGTTTAGGAATGTCATCATGACAAATTCCACTGACAAAACAAAAAAAAAATTATATAGATAAAACCCTTCGTAAAGTGTGGGCTATACTTATCAGAACAATTTTTTGGATCTCTTTGAGGCATGGACTTCCAGGAATCCCTTCAATTAGTCTACTGGAATCTTTTCCAACCAGTCCTAGGGCTCCAACTACAACAGGGATTGTTGATGTTCCAATATGCCACATTTTCGAGATTTCTATTTCAAGGTTCTTGTATTTTGACGGCTTTTTGAATATCTTCAAAGATACATTGCAGTCTGTAGGGACTGTGATATCAATAAGGAGGCACTTTTTTTTGTGTGTGGTCTTTAATAACAATATCTGGCGGTGGGCTTTGATTGTTCTGTCAGTGTGTATTGTGTAGTCCCATAGAATTGTAACAGGTCCTATCCCCGTAACCGGGTCTGGGTGGTGTTCATACCAGTTTCTTTCAGTTTCCTTCCCGTAGAAGTTGCAAATTTTCCAGTGCAGATATTGACCCACTCTGTCATGCCAGGTTTTATACGCAGTGGGTGCCAATCCTTGGGTTTCTGTTCTATATACATTACCTTCTGGGTCGCAACAAGAGACCTAAGGTCAGATATGGCTTCATGACATTTTTTAATGGTCATTTTTTTTTGTAAAAAAAAAAAAAAAAAAAAAAAAAAAACTAACACCACACACATTTTACATAGATAAAGCTCTTCGTAATATGTGAGCTACACTCGTAAGTACAATTTTTTGTATTTCTTTAAGGAATGATCTTCTAGGAATCCCTTCATTGAGTCTATCAGAGCCTTTTTCCAATCAATCCGAGGGCTCCAACTACAATTGGAATTATTGATGTCTTCATGTCCCATATTTTTTAGATTTTCAATCCAAGATCCTTGCATTTAGATAGTTTTTTTTTTAATCTTCAAAGATACATTACAATTCGCAGGGACCGCTATACACATTCTATTTTTGTGGGCTTTGGTCAAGATGCTTGGCCGATTAGAATTGATTGTTTGATTTATGTGTATTGTAAAGTCCCAGATTATTATTATTATTATTATTATTATTATTATTCATGCATTTTCAAATTAACGTCGAATGTCTGGTGGTCATCGCTGAGGACCGGGTTGCAGTAAGTCCCCTCAAATCTCCACCACCCTTCTACGTACCTCTACGTACCCCATAAATACCGTAATCTGTACAATTTCAGTGTTTCCTCTGATTCCTAACTCAGCCATTCTTTATTCCAGTATTTTCAACACAGTTCCAAGTGTTTATACGATTATGGGCGAGAATTCTAACCTTCATATTCCATAACTTTCTTAGCTCTCGAGCAAGGTCCACGTATTTATCTAAATCCTTACTCATTATTAGTATTATTTAAATCGGCATTTCTGAACCGGTGCACCCGGGCGCACTAATGCACTCTGAGAGGTAGTCAGGTGCACCCCAGATTAACAGAAGAGTAAATTATTAATTATTTTTATATCTAAAAAAAAAAAACTTTAATTTTAAAAACCTAGAGGTACCAAGTACTTGACTTGCCATGTCTAAATCAAATCTTTATCACTTGATATTATAAACTGGATGCTAAAATCCTTAATCTTTAATAAAGAGCGATTAATCCTTTCCCCCTTTAACTGCTTTTCTTTTTATGAGCCATGTTCTCTCAGGCCGTAGGCGATCATGGCTCTCCACATCCTTCTATCCCTTGCAGCTCTCAGTAAGTTCCTTCCATCTGTTTCCTCGCCAAGACAAAGTTCTGTCATCCACCTGCTCAAGCTCGTCAGGTATGACACGCGATGCTTTCCCTTGTCTTTCTTTCCTTCTATTTGACCTATGAGTATCAGATTCTCCAGGCCCTCCTTACTCATTATGTGTCCCAGAACCTTCAGCTGCCCCTTTCTGATGTTAAGTATAAGCCTTCTCCTTGTTTGTAACCTATCTAAGACCTCTTCGTTGCTCACACGGTCGGTCCATGATATCCTTAGCATCCTTCTGTAGAACCACATCTCCGTCGCCTCGAGTCTCTTCCTCATCCTTTAGAACATCGTCCAACATCCGCTGCCGTATAGATGTCCCGTAACATGTTACCAAAGAAATCTTACTGTCTCGCAATACTCTGCTCAGCTTTTGGAATGTGTCCTTGGCCATTACCAATACGACTACAAAGGATTTAAATCAGTCATTATAGTAACAGTAAAAAAAAAAAAAAATACAGCAATTCTTTTTTAAATCCCTTTAAATGAAATCTGTGCGTTTAAACAAAAAATGTTATGATGATTTTCTAAGCGTAGTTTAGATGTGACACAAGGCCGAAAATATGAGGCACACAGTGATAATCAAACTCACTATATAATCATAATTGGCCTCGCGACGCAACATGACTAAACAATACACCACGTCGAAGTGGCCGTTATTCTATGTAATGTCTTAAGATTAAAGGATTATTTTAGAAGTGTTTTTTCTTCTTATTTTCAAATTCCATGACTAATTCCTCCTTAATAAAATTTCAAGTGTAGCCCAGAGTTTTAGTTATTCTACAAGTGCGCCCTGAAGAAAAAAAAACTGGTTGACAAACACTGGTTTAAATGTGAAAAAAAAAAAAATTAGGTCACATTGAAATACCGCGGGGAAACCTATTGACATGTTTATCATTGTCGTTGTAACTCTTATCGACATCTTTGTTTTGTTTTATCATTCTGAATAATTTTATTTGTCAAAAGATTTGTTTCTTCGTCACAATGAGTTAATCACAATCTATATTCTTTTTTTATTTGTTCTGACTTCTTCATCGTTTTCTTTTTCTTATTCACCTTCTTCTTCTTCATCGTTATATTCTTTCTCTTCTCATTCTTCTTCTTCATCGTTGATTTCTTTTTTTCTTATTCACCTTCTTCTTCTTTTCTGCATCTTCTTCTTTATCGTTTTTCTTTCCCTTCTTCTTCTTCTTCATCTTCTTCTTCCTCATCGTCTTCTTCTTTTCCATCTCTTCTTCTTCGTTTTCTTTTTCTTCTTCTTAGTCATAGTCTTCTTTTGCTTCTTCTTTCTTTCTCTCCTCCTCCTCCTCCTCCTCTCCTTCTTCCCCTTCTTTGTCTTCTTTTCTTCATTTTCTTCCTCATCGTCTTCTTTTTTTTACTTTTTCTCCTCTTCTTCATATTCTTTTTCCTTCTTTGTCGTTGACGTCGTCCTCTTCTTCTTCTTCTTCTTCTTCTTCTTTTCTTTATCATCTTCTTTATCGTTTTTCTTTTTCTTCTTCCTGTTCTTCTTCTTTCTTTCTTTATCTTCTTCTTCGTCTTCTTCGTGTACTTCTTTTCTTCATCTTCTTCTTCATGATTATCATCTTTTTCATCTCCTCTTCTTTTTCTTCTTCTTAATCACCGTCTTCTTTTTCCTCTTCTTTCTCTTCTCCTTCCCCTCCTCCTCTTCTTTTTCTTCCCCTTCTTTGTCTTCCTTTCTTCATTTTCTTCCTCATCGTCTTCTTCTTCTTCTTCATCTCGCCTTCATCTCTTTCTATTCCGCCTTTCGTTCCTGTTTCTCTTAATACTACTATAACTCCACTATTTTCAATATGAACTTCTCCGTAAATATTTTTATTGTCTCTCTCTAGTCTATTCCGCTTTTTGTCCATCTTTCAATAATAACACTGTCATACAACAACAACAACAACACCAACAACAACAGTAGCAACAACAACAACAATAACCTGAGAGGCGCACAGAGTTCAACAATTCGCTTTTCCCGCCTACGATATGCCTCTCCTTTTATCATGCATAGACACGCAAAGGTAAACAGAAAGAGTGCTTCGGCCAATACCCTCTTCTATTCGTATCAAACATACACTAAAAATTAACCACTGATACAATCGGGTGCATGTGTAAGTTTACATGCTTAGTGCTACGCGGGGGTCGACTGTCGTAAGTCTTGTGTTGCAATCTATTCGATAACGCCGTATATTCGATTATATGCAGAGGATGCCATATAACAGCCTTGTGTCAGGTTTACGCCGATTTCAGTACCCATCTATAGAATTTTTCCCAATTTCGTTAGTACTTACGGCTGATACCAGAGGTCAGAGTTCAAGGCAAAACACTGAAAAAAAAGTTATTAAGCCCGTTAATCTATCACAATCTAAGCCCGTTAATCTATCACAATCTTAGACATTACTTAGCTAAGCTTTGTAAGTAGTCATTTACAGAATTATTAGTTGTGTGTGTCTCTTATAGAACAGACTAAAAGATGCATAAATATGTAAAGAGAGAAAACAAAACAAGATGGAACCTAATCAATTAATATCTATTTTAAGATATTGCGATTATAAATTTTGAGGGAGTAGATTACTGACGAAAGGGGGTGGCGATACTAAGTTTTTTGTACTACTTACATCTGCTAACAGAAAACATATAGAGTAAAGCAAGAAACAAAACAAAACAAAAAAAAAAAATAACACTGTTAAATCACCTTAGACGTTAGATTTAAAGTGGATCTATATTTTACAGTTCTTGGAATTGTGACTTCGCTTCGCATTCCACTGCTAAGAACGTCTGAATTATGAAAATATCGATAAACAGTTTGGATCGATTTTGATTCAAACGTGTTGCAGGTGAATCCACATCTTTTCATACACACGCACGCACAGAGTTTTTAGTTGTCTTTTTTTTCTTTTCTTTTTTCCCTGGCCCCAAATAATATAATTTAATTTGTATTTTATTACACGATTGTACTTTTTTGTTTGTTTGTTTGTTTTATCGTTTTTTTTTTTTGTTTTTTTGTTTTTTTCACTACCAATTATAGCTTTAACAAAAAGGCAATTCTTTTTTTGTTGGTCAGTAGAAAAAAGATCGGTAACTTAATTTTTATTTCTGACCACTGAGTTACTTTAACCCTCATAATGTTAGATATTCACAAAACCCGAACTGATTCTGCACGCTGGAACAGTGTGGGAGACAAAGTCTAAATATATTTTTAAATATCTCGAACAATTATATCGGATTTTCCATATTAAAAATCTCAGAAGATTTTAAAAAGATATTTAAAATATAGCAAGAGTCTACGCTATTTTTATGGATAAATTTGTATTTACATTTGTTTTGTTTTTTTTTTTGTTTTTTTCTATTTGTGAATGAACTTTTTAATTATTTTTTTTTTATTTATTTACAGCGAAATATTACATTTTATTTAACTTTACGCAAGGGTTATTTCGTTAGCGTTTAATAATGGGTATATTAAAATAAGATAATTTTAAAATTATGGTAACGTTTACTGTTTTTTTCTGGTTAGTAATTTCTTACAATTGTTAACGTTTTTACACGATTCACATTTGTGTGGCGCATTTATTCAGTGTAATTTTATTTATAATTTTTATTTTATTTTATTTTTATTTTTTTGTAGCGGGGGGTGGGGACGATCAGCCAGTGAAATATTGTCTCATGTCTTTTTGACGTCTGCATTTATACTCACCGAATTAAAAAATAAAAAAAAATAAAATAAAACAAGAAACTAGAAACAGATGCGGAAGAAATTAAGGAAACGAAGAATATTGACAAAACGCTTTCGGCAATAATTTATTTTCTGCTTCCTTGGTCAGTTACAGTGCCATTATCGTCTTAGTTGCGTTGTTGTCTTGTTTTTGCTTTTTCCAATTAATCTCTTTGCAAAGTATCTTCATCGTTATTAACGGTTTTGGCCTTGTTTAAATTTTTTATCGCCATTATCGACATCGTCATTACCACCGCCACTATCATCATCATCATCATCATCATCATCATCATCATTCATTATTGTTGTTGTTGTTGTTGTTGTTGCTGTTGTTGTTGTCTTGGTGGTGGTGGTGTTTCTTTTCAAAAGTCTCCATCATCGTTTTCATAAAATACACTTCGGTTGGATCTGTTTTTGCATCGCCATCAAATTACTGCCGGAGACATTTTTTTTAGAACAGATATTTTGAGATATTCTTAAAAAAAAAAAAAAAAAAAATGAAAAAGAAAGCTTGATTTTTTTTTTTTAAATCTATTATTACAGTTATAGATATCTACTTTTTCAACCACATTTTCCAAGCACATATATATTCAAACATTCTCCAGATGGCGTGTACTACTGGAGGCAAAGTGACACCAAGTTTTTTCATTACGTATTAGTATTGCACACCTCGATTCGAATATTGCTTCTAATAAGAATTTTATATCATTTGCGTCTTTTAAAAATTTAAGTAACGGTTCCACAGATCTCTCATATTTTACAAACATTATTGTTCCTTTCACAGCACCAATAACGGTAAATACCTTAAAATTATTTTAATTTACCTTTATTTGTCTATTTTTATAATATTAAACAAAAACTAACCGACCCAATTCTATTCTATATCTAACATTTTCTTAGAGTTTAGAGAATCCTTATTTCAAATCGCTTTATCTTTTTTCTTTTTTTTTCTTTTTTGCTAGCAGTTTTGCTACTTGTTTTTGTTGCTATTATTACCTCACTTGATGATTTTCAATTGCCACCCAGTAATCACGTCGATCAGATTTTATTTTTTGAAGGAACTAGTTTAATAATAACACTATTAATAAATGCTCCCGTAAAATAATTTCATTTACCGTTGCATGAACGTTGTTCGTGATAGCTGACAATAGGGGAAAGGGTTTGGCCAGAAAATCTATAAGAATGGACTTTGCTTTAGTATTTCAACT